CAGTCCTGGTCCCCCTGTATGGAGCCACATGGTCATGGTTCTCCTGTCCTGACTACAGTGACCATGAGCCCCAGTGCTTAGCTTCAGAGCTATCAATACGTTATTGTCAAATAAGGGAATCTTTGAAAATCCAAAAGTCAGGACACATGGTCGGCCACAAAGGTGTGTTCTTCAGAGGACAACAAAACAGAGTATCTGAAAGCAGGACAGCTGCCCTGAGAAGGCTAGGACAGAGTGTCAGCAAGGTCTCACTAGTGTCCCTCCCCAAATGTCCAGGGACAGTCTGACTCCCAGGAGTCTGCAGTACCCTGGGAACATCCAAGCAACAGTGCCTCTTTCCCGCTCCCCAGCAGGCTCTCAGGTAAACCTCAACCTTCTTTCCAAAGAAGCCCCAGGACCGCCAGGAAAGCCTCCAGAGGCCTGAGACCAGGGGGCTGTCCAGGAAGTCAGCCCACCTCCAGCGGGGGATGCCACCAGGAGGAAGGCACCAAGGCCACTGGGAATACCGGCCAGTGGCAAATGCAAAAACTTCACTCCCACTCAGTGGTCTCCATACATTCTGTAACCAAACTTTGCCCCAGAAATATTCTTTGTTTCAGACACCATTTCCCTACCTGTCCATCACCAAGAGGTAATTAAAATGTCTCAAAATCACACCCAGTCAGAACTGTGATGATCCCTTAAAGGAGAAGCTCAGTTAGGTGAGCTTACCTACAAAGACTGACAGGGAAATGAAGGAGAAGCAGACGCTGCCTCAGAAAGGGAGTGGCTGTCTGTTGGGGCTGGCGCAAGCTCCAAAATGCCTGTTTCTGTTACTGAAAAACATGGGAGTCTCGACCAGGTGTGTCTTTTCAGGGCTCTCACTCTCTTCCCAGCCAGGTGATATCCAGGACGTGGCCTGCCTCGTCCAGGGTTACACTGAGCCAGCCGGAGGGAGTAAATGCCAGCATTTTGCATGTAGCATATATCGACCCATTTCTTCCTCACAGCCACCTTAACGGAGGACGATTATTAACCTGATCACAGCAATGAAGAACACAGGGTCTGAGAGGCTAAGTGACCGGCTCAGGGTCACCTAGCCAGCCGCGGGTACAGTCTGGATTAAAGCCCAGGTGCCAAGCCACTGCATTTTGTCACACATTAGTGAACCTCGCCTTTGGGAGGCTAAAAGGTGACATTCTGGGGAGAGAGGGCAGCCAGGACTGCCCTCCTAGGGCCAGGACTGACCTGTGAGCCAACAGGGAGCTGATGTGCTTTTCTCCATCTCTACCCCCAGCCCAGGCCGGGGCACCTCAGAATCCCCTGTGCCCAAAGATCCCCTGGGTACCTGGTGAAGATGCAGGTCTGGGGTGGGGCTGAGAGTCTGCCTTCCTCACATGCTCCCATGTGATGGCCAAGCTGCTGCTTCGCTGACCACACCTCAGGCAGAAGCAAGACTTGAGTCAAATTTTCTCCCACCCCACACTGCGCCCTTCTTACCTTGCGTGATCACTGTCTTGCTGGAACTCACAGGGGCCTGGCATGTAGCTGCCACAGATTTTGTTGGGGTTGTTTTTGTTCTTGCTTTTTGACATGGATGATTAAAATGGTACCCACAGTGCAGTATGAGGCAGAAAATGGATTTCCCGGGTCTGTTTTCAGCTTGGCATTTGCCCTTTTCTTCCTTATCCACCTCTCGGCCAAACTGTCTAAACTAATTTATCTCAAAGGAGTCAGGCTGGAGCTGTGCGCTCTCAAAGTGTCCACTATTTCAAGCCCTTACTGGGAGGGGTTGCCATGCTCCCATCCCAGAAGCAGCAAATGCTGAGGAGTAGGGATGCCTCTGTAAGCAAGAGCATGGAAAACCGAGCGACTCGGCTCAGAGAGGGCTCCCACCTCAGAGAAAAGCCAAAGCCTTAACCATGACCTCCAAGGCCGCATGTGATCTGGCCCCACCATCCTTCTGCCCTCATCAGCCCTCTGCCCTTGATGTCCCCTCCACAGCCTCTGGTCCTCTCTTAAATGCCACCTTCCCAGTAAGGTCCTCCCTGGCCACCAATTAAACTAGTAACCTCTGTGCCTCCCACCCCCACCCCACTCCCAAAGCACTGCTGCCTCTTCCCCTCTTGACTCCCCTCTAATACCACTTATCACCATCTGGCATCCTATAAATTTTACTTAGTGATTTTGATTTATGTCTCCCTGCCCCTTCCCCACTGTAATGTGGACTTCATAAAGGCAGAGACATTTGCCATTTTTGTCCATTTTGTTCACTGGTACATCCCCAGTGCCTACAACAGCGCCTAGCACGTAGCAAGTACTCAATATTTGTGGAATGAATGAATGAAGGGTCTGGTCTGCATGCTAACGGGTCAGACATTGTGACTAGACCTGGGAGTCATCAGTTCCTGTGGTTCTCTTAACTCCCCTGAAAACTCAGTCTTTCCCTCCTGCATTCTAAGATGAGGAGACTGAAACTCTAAGTGGTTAGTTAAGCGATTTGGCCTAGGACACAGAGTTAGGCTCAGGCACCGGGTCTGCCAGCTTCCAAAGACTGTGTTCTTTTCTGCCTGTGGCTGCCTTCAAACTGTCTTCCTATGACAAACATGACATTAACTCGCTTTCCTTATTGTAAGCAGCAAATGCTTTTGCTTAAGGACTTTGCCAGATCTGCCCAGAACGTGAAGTCCAGTGCATGCAAAAGGATCTAGGGGGAGCTCATGCCCTCCAAGCCAGGAGGAAGTCCCACCAGTAGCCTAAAGAAGCCCCCATTGGCCAAAGGAAGGAGAAGACCCTCCTTTAAAAAGTTCTCTAAACCCCAAAGAAGAGCCACAATAATTCTGGTTGTGTTTCATCTTTTTCTTCACTTTATTTTGTTTTGTTATGTCCCTGAGCAATCTCTTTGACCTTTTCAAGTCTGGGTGACCTTTTGCATTCAATGACTGCTACAAGTCATGTGGATTCTAGAGCAGAAATCTATCTCTCATGAACTTCCCCAAACCAAACCTGCACACGGGCCCATGGGCCACAGTGCCCTGCACGACCCACTCCCCCACAAGCCCCATAATGACTCAGGCCCAGACCCCAGGGACCAGGCCCTGGGAAGGAAGCCAAGCCTTGTGGGGCTGTGAAAGTAAGATGCACCTATGCCACCAAAGTCCATCTACCCTCTTATTCCAAAGACCACCATAGTGAGTCGCCCCTCCTCCCCTACTCATCACTCTGCATCACATTACCTCATCTGTTTTCTTCAAAGCACTTCTTACCATCTGAAGCTATCCCGTTTATTGATTTCCGTATTTGCCATTGCCTGTCTCCTCAGAAGAGGTCCAGTTCGGGAGGCTAGGAGTATGGTCAGTGTTATTCACCTCTGTTCTATTCCTGGCATAGGTGGGCATGCAAATACCGGTTGAATGGTTGAGTAAATAAAGCAGAAAACAAGTGGGTTCGGAAGGAAAGAACCAAGGGGCTCACAAATGGAGCCACTTAACCCTAACATCAACCTGTCCTGAAGGTATTTTATGCCTGCACAGCTGGGAAGTGGACCCAAGACTGTCCAACTCCAAGAGGAAATGAGAAAATGCCGCCGGTAAGGAGAGGAGAAGCAAGAGGACAAGCTGGTGAGCTTTACAGGAAGGCCAAGGTCAAGCTGCCATTGGGGCCCATGGCCCTGAATGCCATTTTCCTGGAATATTGACTTAGAGAGGACTCAAGATTTTCCACGGAGTTGAGCCCAGGTAGGTCTATGCTTCCTCCATGCCCCTAGGGCAGTCATGGCACCTGCATCCGCGCAGGAAACCTCTGCCCGAAGCAAGGGACCACAGTCGAGAGTGTGCAAAACCAAGTTCTTCTTTCAAGGCACTAGTACCGTTAAAAGACACGATCATAAACCGCCCTCGAAGAAAACACTTGACGTCCGTCTCCATTCCTGGGTAGTTTGAGGTTGGAAGGTCATAAATAGTGCCATGTCCTCTCTCAGAGCACTGTCTTTCATTCATTCATTCTTTCATTCATTTGTTCGGCCAACATTTGCTCACCCAGCCCCGGGCTGCCAGAGATGGAATGACACAAAACCTCTGCCCTCTCACCAGTCCATCGGTGCCCGCAGTTTTGGCGGGCACTAAAAGACCAGCAAATATTAACTGATACTTGCTTCCAAAACAAATAAGGCCACGTGGAGCTGCGCACTGAATGGGATTTGGGATGCAATTTCGATTTGATTCGATTGGGTACAAGAACCAATTCAGTCAATGGGACCATAGATTAACTCCAAGCACCAGACTCCTACTCAGGGGCTCTCTCGGACCCCCTTCCTCCTCCGGGCACCAGGCCCCTCGCCCACCCAGTCCCATGCTTTCGCCACATTCCCACCCTGGTCCACAGTATTCTCCCTCGGACTCTTCTATTTCCCCTGCCTTCCCAAACCCCACCTCCCTAGGTCCTCAGCTTCGACATCCTACTCGCTGAACCCCAGGACACACGTCTCACCTGCCTTCCACCACCACCCCCTACACACGCCCCAGGTCTGAGCTTCCGCCTGGAGCCCCCTGAACGTCATGTGTTTACAAACCCTATTTCCCAGGGGTCTGTGTTCGACCCCCGCCCCCACCCGGGAGTGCAGAGGGCACGCACCCCCGTGATCTGCTGCACCCTTGCCGGCGTGCCGGGGGCAGGGGGCAGGGGGCAGGGCCCTCCCCCCCCACCACCACCGCCTCCAACTCCTAGGACCGAAGGCCCCCGGGCTCCGCGGGGCGCGGGCCGGGCAGCCGGGCCCTGGGGCCCCCCCGAACTCCGCGCGCCGGGCCCGGGCCGCTGGACGCGCCGACCGCGTGACGCCCGGGACCCCGCGCCGCCCAGGCCCGGCCCCGGCCCCCCGCCCCGCCCCGGCCCGCGCACCTCCCCGGCCGCGCCCCGCGCCCCGCGCCCCGCGCCCCGCGCCCCGGCCGCGACCCCGCGGAGCCCCGGAGCCCGGGAGCCCGGGAGCCCGGCCCGGCCGAGAGCGCGGCGCGCCCGGCGCCTACCGTTGGCGATGAGCTTGGCCGACAGCTGCTTGACGAGCTCGGGGATCCGCTCCCACTGGCACTCGGAGCGGCAGCGCTCGATCTCCGTCTCCAGCCGCGAGCCCGCCTTCCTGGTCGCCATCGCGGCCCGGCCCGGCCGCCCGCCCGCCCGCCCGCAGGCCCCGCAGGCCCCGCAGGCCCCGCAGGCCCCGCCGCCGCCGCCCGGGCGCCCCCGCCGCCGCCGCCGCCTCCCGCTGCCGCCGCGGGCGCGGGCTCCGGCTCCCGGCTCCGCGGCGTAACGGGAGCGCCGGCTGGGGAAGGGGCGGGGAGGCGGGCGGCGGCGGCGGCGGCGGCGGGCGGCGGGGCCCCGGGCGCCGCGAGGAGCGGCCCCTGCCGGCCAGGGCCGGAGCGGCAGGCGGGGGGGAGGGGGAGGGGCGGGGCGCGCGGGGCGGGGGGGGGTGGGGGGGGGAGAAACTGCGAGGCGCCGTGGCATGTGGCCTAAACGGGGCAAGGTCACCCACGGGACTAGCAGGCCTGGGCCCGGCGAGGCGGGTTGAGCGGGAGGCCCCCTGCGCCTGGCCCGCCGTCGCCATCTAGGGTTTCAGGTAGATCCCCGGGGCCCCCAGCAGGCCCCCCTGCGCCCCAGGCAGCCCTAACCCCGCCCCCGCCCAGAGGAGGCAGCGGGGAGTCAGCCGCACTGCACCTGCCCAGGGGCTCCTTGAGTATCCGTTGAGTTGCCTGAGCCTGGCAAGGACTGCCACCAGCTGAGATGCCTCCCACCCCCACTCCGGGCCTCTGAGGAGGCGGCCCGTCACCTGGGGGGGGGGGGTGCCTTGCCTGGGCCCTGCAGACTGAGAGCTGGGACAGGTGTCCAATGTGTGCAAGCTCTCAGTTATTGGATGACTAGGTAGGGATCGTCCCTACCTGCTGGGGACTTTTAGGCGCTGGGAGCTTGGAGGGAATATGGCACAACGAAACAGGCGAAAGGCCTGCCTTGGTAGAGCTTTCATTCCGGCCAGGGGAAAAAATAAGCAAAATAAAGTAGTGAGTTAGAAAGTCAAGGTAAGGTGGAAGAAACAGAGCAGGGCCAAGTGAGGAGAATAGAGAGTTGGGGGCCAGGGGTTGTGGAGCATGTTGCAGTTTTCAAAGGGCGTTAGGAACCGCCTCACGGAAGTGACATTAGATCAAGAGTCAAAAAGGGTGAGAGAGAGCCGTGGGGAGGACATCTCTGGGGGAAGACAGTTCTTGGCAGAGAGAACAGCAGTGCAAAGGCCCTGGGGTAAGAGCATATTCAGTGTGTTGGAGACACACCAAAGAGACCAGTGTGCCTGGAGTGCAGGGGGAGAGGTGAGGTGAAGTAGGAAGCACCCAGAGGTGGGAGGAGGAGTTTCGGTTCTTGGTGGGCCTTGAGGGCCTTTATAAATACCCTGGCTTTTCCTCCAGGGAAATGGGAGGTCCCTGAGAATTTATAAGAAAAGGGTGTGACCTTTTGACCTGTATTTTAGGAAGTTCACTGTGGCTGCTGTGCTGAGAATACTGCCGGAAGGCGAGGAGAGAGCTGGAGGTGGAGACCCCCCAGATGATAGCTGTGGCTGGGGTGAGGGTGCTGGATTCCGGACCCTGCATTTGGGCATGGCCCTGACACTGGAATGGGGGTGAGGAAGCGCTGTCCTCATCAGCATCGCCCCTTCCGGGTGCCTCACTGCTGCTCTCCAGGAGCTTCACTCAGGTTCCTGCGCCTCTCATCTCCTCAGCAGCCCCGGTGGACGGCGGCTCACCCCGTGGAAGCTGAAACGAGCCGTTGGACGTGAGCAGGGAAGGTCCGAAGGAACTTGCACCCTGACCTGCATACCGTTTGGGCACCCCTGAGGACCCATGTCGAAGGTTGACCTGAGGGTCTCAGATGCTGGGGACAGCCCCAGGAAAGGGACCTTTGGGTGCCTGGTGCCTTGGGTTCCACCAAGAGGGAATAGGGAGACCTGGAAGAGGCCTCTCCACAGCGGACACTGCCCCTCCCTCTCGGGCCCTCGCATTGTCCTCTCAGCTCGAGCTCGGAGAACTGTCTCTGCAACGTTTGTCTGGAATGTTCCCTCCCCTCTGGTCCAGGAGAGACATTGGTGTGTGGTCTGTGAGATGCAGGCCCAGGAGCCTTGCTCCACGGCTAACCGATCCTGTGTGACCCCCCCGGCGGGGCCACCTCCCTCTGCGACGGGGCTTCTAACCACCAGCTCTGCAGTGAGGAGCGTGCAAGCCCACCTCAGCTGCCACGCTGGCCGGCGGCCACCCCTGCTCGGCAGGTGCTGCCTGGCCTGCGGCATTGAGCCCCTCCATCCCTAAAGTGCCCGCAGCTGGAGGGGGAACACCTACCCCGGTGCAGCCGGCTGAGAGTTCAACGGGAAGATGCAAGTAAAGCACCTGGAGGGGTAGAGGCCCACGATGCGAGGGCCAAAGCGCGAGCCCTTGTTCTGCGTCCCTGGCCCCCTCGCACCCACAGTGTAGGAGCAAGAACGAAAGAGTGAATGGGAGCATCCTGGTGGCTCAGTGGTTGAGCATCTGCCTTTGGCCCAGGGCGTGACCCCGGGGTCCTTGGATTGAGCCCCACATCGGGCTCCCTGGATGAAGCCTACTTCTCCCTCTGCCGGTGTCTCTGTCTCTCTCTCTGTGTGTGTCTCTCATGAATAAATAACTAAAATCTTAAAAAAAAAAAAATGAATGAATGAATGAGGCTGGAGATCTTCAGGGTCTGGAATCAGCCTGTTTTCCTTAGGACTCCACAGAACAGTAAGTATTTGTGACTGTGTCTGAGGCCCCCACCTTCACTGCAGGCCACCCTGGAAGCAGTGGACAGCCAACAGAGTACTCAAGCCCATGTGCTTGAGCCCTGCGGCTGCTGGGGTACAGGAGGCAGGAGCAGAAGCTACCAGACATGGTCAGCCTGACCTGCCGAGAGGAAGAACCTTCTGGGTCTTCACTGTGCAGAGCCCCGGAGGTGGGCCCAACAAGGTCTGGACTCAGTCCCACCCCTCGCAACTGCCATCACAACCCTGGAGACATACAAGAGATGGCCTGTGGAGAAGTTCCAGGTGTGTTTACCTGCTGGTGGCTCTCAGGGAAATTCAGGAGTAGCGAGTTGTTCGTGATAATAATAGTAATTAAACCAACATCTTTTCTTTTTTTTTTCCAGGCACTGGTATTTCAGGTTTGACAAGGATGTGAAAAATCACAGCCCGTAGGCCAAATCCAGCCCTGAGGCCTGATGATGCCCAGAAGGAAAGAAGCTGAGTGGAAGATGGCTCAGGAAGTATGACTCCTGGCTAATCCCTAGAGCAAATCCGGCTTGCCACAAGCAGTGGGGACAGGCCAAAGACTCCGAGCAAAGGTCAGTGCAAATGGGGGTGACTCTGTGGTCTGGAAACCTCCCAATCGCCCCCCCCCCCCCCGCCGAAAGCCTGGGTCCCCTTTAAGACTAGAATAGGACATGAGGTGAGTAGCAGTAGCAGGGGGAGAGAGTGCTTGAGAGAGGTGTGGGCTGGGGTGGGGCAGGCGAAACTCCAGGAGGAGGAGGAGAAGGCAAGAGGAAGGGCAGGGTCCGGTGGCCTCAGTCTGGAAGGCTCTTCCCTAGATACTCATGTGGTCCCCCTCCGTTCCTCTTGGCCTCTGGCCCAGGTAACCTCCATCCTAAGGTCACCTCCTTCCTCAACCACCTGATCCAGACCTGCCCCATGCCTTTCCCTATCCTTCTGCTCGGCCATGGTTGTTTCCTCCTTTCTTCTTGATTTCTAGGTAGTCACTCAGTGTTCATTGTCAGTCTCCCCTCACTCAAACCTGAGCTCCATGAGGGCAGAGGGGTTTGTGGGCTTTTATTCCCTGCTGTATCCCCAGCATTATGTATGGTGCCTGGCACATAGCCGGTGCTCCACAGATGTTTGCTGAAGGTGAAAATGAGTGGAAGGAAGGTGGTGGGGCTGGGCTGGATGGGGTACCCGAGGCCTGGGCATCCCAGAAGACAGGCCCAGGGGAAGTGGGAATCAGGTTGCTAAAGCAGGCGGGTCAGATTTCAGGGGGAGACGGAAATCCGGAAGTAGCAGAGGCCTCGCAGTGTGCTGCACAGTCGCTTCTAACCTTTGACCTCACCTTGTGGGGCAGCAGCCCTGTCTTCTGGCTGCTGGTATCCCTGGGAGGATTGAGAGCCACCCTGTAGGCAGGCAGGCCCTATAGCCGTGCCCCTAAGCAACCGGCAAAGCATGCCAGAGCCTGAAGGCCTGGGGCTTGAGCGATGACAGCTGCCGCGCCTTTTGATGGTTTATGATTATGAAATATTTAATATGTACAAAACACATGATTGGGGCACCTATGTAATAAAATAATAAAATGAATACCAGGGCCCCAACAGACCCTCCCCGAGTTAACCAGCATCTTGCTGTTTGTGTTCATTATACCCTCATTTTTGTTTCTTAATCGGCTTTCCGCTGCCCCTTGTCCTGTGAATGTCGTCTGTAACCCATTGTGTGATGCTGCCTGCTTTCCTGCTCTGCAAAGACAGTGTCCTGTTGTGTTACTTGCTTCTTTGCTCATTGTGATCTTGGGTCTGGCCTTGGTGAAGGCTGTGATTGCGTCCTGATCTCTGGTGTGTAATGCTCTTGGGGGTGGTGGTGCTGGTAACACCCCCGTTGGCCGCCCTCCATGTATGGTACCTCAGCACCCACACTTTTATGAACAGGCTGCCGTTTAGAAGCTGCATCAGTGCTGTTGTTAGGAGCAGGGTTTCTGAAGGTGACTCAAGAGGGCTCTATGCCCCCTCCCTTGACGTGCCCGAGGGGGCCTCCTGAGTTTCTTCCCAAAGGTCATCTGCTGCTGCCTGGAGTCAGGGTTCCCACCGTAGGGACGAACAAGTAGAACCCTCCTGCGCAGCCCCACTGCAAGCACTGAAGCTGGTGTGTGTGGTTTACCACCTGTTGCCGTTTGACGGGGCTAGCCAGATGGCCAGGGAGAGGAGGCTGGCCGGCCGCTCCAGGAGGGCCCGGGCATGGCATGAGCTGCATGTAGAACCAGGTTCCTAAGATGCGCTTCGGCTTTGCTAAGTCCAGAAATATGTGGATGCTTCAGGAGCTTGCCCCACTGACTCCTGCTGATGAAGCTCACCACAGACCATTGTTGACAC